ATCGAGCCGATCGCCCGACTCGATCGCTTGAAACTGAAAACAAACACGTTTGTTTTTGAGGCGATTGCCCGATCCCATCCATACTGGGCACCCCGTATCAGCTTATACTTCTATCATCGCGGCCCTTATCGTGTTCCTGTGCAGTAGAATCTTCGAAGTGATAATATCTCTAGATCTAGACAAATTTGAAAAAAAAAAGTTTCTTTCTGACAGTAATTTTCTGTCTAAGATCACAACTCAATTTACTTGATCAACGTGCAGATTTTCCAGCTGCTGCAACAATCCGAAGATAAAAGGAATGAGTGAATGATAGAAAGGAGGAAATTGGCACAAAAAGTTCGCCAGATTTTGATCCACCTGCAGGCAAAAAATGTACTGCCGACCAACCCGCATTGAATGCACGGGCATAGCAGATGGCCGACTAAAGAAAATGAACAATCCTGGCAGGTTTCTATTATAACATACTTTTATAGCAAAGAGAATTACCATAAATATCTGTAACTTACAAGACAATACGAAGGCGAATGCGGAAATTCGGGCAGTCCTGGGCTGTCGCATTTTTTTACGGAGGGAGTTGATAATGATGGAGGAACAAATACGGAACTGGCAGAAAATACGGATTTTTCGTAAAAATACGGAAAAGTGGAAGCACTGATTCTGCGCACGGTCCCTTAAAAGCCTTCCTTAGCGCAAGTTGGGCGTACGGTCCGCTAGCGCCAAGCGTTATTGGGGCGAACGGTCCCTTTAAAACATCTGGACTCTCTTTAGATCTCTAGAGGCCTTCAGCCTGTATTACATCTTATAAAACTAGATCCGATAGGAAAGATGAGAAGAGACCCAGCCCGGGGGGGCAAAAAAAAATTATTCCCACCCGGGTAACTTAAATGGCCGTCGTTATTCGGACTCGAGTCCGAATAACATTTTTTCATATTCGGACTCGAGTCCTAATAAAAAAAATTCTTGTTCGGACTCGAGTCCGAATATATGAAAAAATGTTATTCG